ACCTTCGTCTTCTGCTCAAATCGTATATACTCGGAGGACTTCCAGACCGCACAAGCCTACAAAACCATTCACTCCTTCTTAGTTAGTAGTGTTGAATTCGTGGAATTGTGTTTATTTTGGATTTTTGGATTGTTTGCATAAACCGAATATTTCGTTTTGTATATATTGTTTGTTCGACAAATTATTGTGTTTCATTTGTTTGTTTATATAATATGTTGGATTATTATTGGGCGAATATGTTGATATTAGTTGATCGAACAGGTGTATTTGGTTGTGAACAGGTATATTTAGGGTTTTGAGGCAAAATTAGGGCACCAAAAATCAATTTGGGGTAAAATTACATATAAAACGTATTTACGCAATACGGTTTACATTTCGAAATTATTTTTCTTTTATAAAACGTATTACGTAAATACGTTATTGAATAAAAAATATAAAAACGTATTCAGTTAATACGTTTTAAATTTTTTAGATTATAAAACGTATTCCACTAATACGTTCTATAATAAAAATATATATACACCTAATTTTAAATTAAAAACGTATTTACGTAATACGTTTTAATTTTTTTCGATTGTAACACGTATTTCATTAATACGTTTTACAATTAAAAATATATATACACCTATTTTTAAATTGAAAACGTATTTAACGTATTCTGGCAATACGGTTTATTTTGTTTTAGTTAAGTTAATTACGTTACTTAAGTTAACAAATTATTTTTTTGCAAAACGTATTACGTAAATACGTTTTATTTTTGAAGACGTATTACCTGAATACGGTTTATAATTGAAAACGTATTCTTGTAATACGTGCTTTTTATTTTGGTCGAGAATATTNAACTAATTCTCTTGATGTAGTTTCATTAGCTTTGACAACAAAATAGAACTTTTAAATGGCTAGTGAGTATGTTGAAAATATTTTTTTATATTCTAAAATTTCAATCACAAAAGCCATATCTATAAAGTCTTTTATTAGACAGTCTTATAGTTAGACAACTATAATTTGTCAATAAGTATATATATTTTCATACTTAAATATCATGCTTTAACCCAGAACGTAAACAAAAATATGATATTTCATATTATAAATGTATTTTTTTAAAAAAGAATGTGATAGTCTTTAACGGTTAAGCAACTAACACATAATTTGAATTTATTTTTGCAATACCGATCTCTTTATTAAGGTAGTATCTATTTTCTATAATTATTAATTACATTAGATACATGCATAAAAAATATATTTCTTACTATCCTGTAAAAACTTATGGTGAAAATACTTGGAATTGTCCATCCATCAAATAATTAGTTGTTCGGAAATTGGGTTGAGCACAGTAAAATCATTTTAAAAGTGCATGAAAAATTCGATCAAGCCCTTATCCAATTTGCAAAACTTGTCCTTAACACATTATACTCTTATTTTTCAATGAAAAAATGTGAATCAAATTGAAAAAGCAACATTGAAGAATGTCAAGCTACCCTCAACCTCATAACGAATTTGAATTCTAACAACTACAAATTCAAACAGAATATATAATGCAAATATTAAATTATATTATATTTCTAAAAAATAATAAAGCTGGAAATTACAGATGGGACCATTCTTTTAAATTGATGAGACCGACGTGTCGATTTTCGAATGAATGCTCAGGTTTTGCATAAGCAATTGGTTTCTTATTATCAATCCGCCTAATACAATGTTGTATATTTATAAAATAATATGAATAGCATATTTCATATATTATAAATATGTGTCGTTTCATGTGGAAGTAAAATATTTTCATTCATAAAAAATAAAATATAGGATTACTCAGAATAAAAATAGAATATAGGTTTACTTATAGTTTTCGATGAGTCTATATTGAATTTGGGGCCAAAAACCAGCTCATCGTTTATTGCATGAAACTACAAACAAAATTGGTGAACCTTCTCAAATTGATAACCTAACCTCATCTTTTCCTCATGTTAATGAACCTGTGAGTTATGTTGGTGATTGTGATGAAAGCATGACAATAAATAACCATAGGGATTCTGATGATCATCTTGTTAATGTGGTGATCATCTTGTTAATGATATTATTGATGACTGTATAAGCAATAATAGTGATATGTCCAGTCTTTAGGATCAGATTCTTGTCACTCTGAAGTTTTCATAGACTTATGATTGTGACTTTTCTGCTGCTGGTTATACTATTATGTTTGATGAAAACATTATTAGTGATGTTGAGTTTGGGGGCATAAACAGATATGTCTGAGGGTGTGTGCAGACCTCGTGTTGAGTCCATAGGCAGTAAAGCAAAGGATAAACATAAGGGTCATAATGTTTTCAATGAGAATTCAGAAATTTCAAACTCTAATTTTGAGTTAGGCATGTTTTTGACAGACATGTCTTTGTTTAGGAAAACCGTTAGACAACATGCTATTAAGAATGGGAAGGATGTGGTTTTTAGCATTAATGAGATAACCAATGTACAAGTTATGTAAGCACAGAACTTGTCTATAGATTATGTATGCTGCTAAGTTGTATGATGAGAATAGTATCTAATTGAGAAAGTATTTCTCAAGACACAAATGTCCGAGGAAACATAGGGTTTCTCATGCAAACTCTAGGTGGCTAGCTGATACATATAGATAAAAAGTATAGACTGGTCTAAGTGGTATGTGGAGTCTATGAGAAAGATAGTGCAAGGGAAACACAAGCTTCTTTTCAATAAACGTCAACTCTATAGAGCTAAAATAAGTGTTGATAGTGGATTTGGGGGTAATCCCGAAAAGTGTGCATTGTTGTGGTCTCATGCCAGTGAAATTAGGTTGTCAAATCCTAATGCCACAGTGAAGATAAAATGAAAAAGGGTAGGGGATCGGATATTCTTTAAAAGAATGTACATTTGTTGGGGTGAACTTGGGGATGATTATGGAATGGATGTAGGCCTGTTATATTTCTTGATAATTGTCATTTGAAAATTTCAATGGGTGGGGTACTTTTAACTTCGGCATAGATCCAAACAATGAAATGTTTCTATTTTCTTATATTATGGTAGAAAAGTAAAAGAAGAAACCTTGAGGGTAATTTTTACATGTGATACAAAATATCACAAACCCTTCAATATGTAGAGTTTT